TTCTTCATACATATTAAAAAGTAACTTGGAAATTAGTATAAAAATTTTTTTGACATACTGTAAAATGCGCGCGTCAAGTATACGTTTGTGTTATTGTAACGAGTACGATTCTTCTTACACATTACATACAATGAAGTCAAATGATCTCTGCATTTGTATGAAATATATATATAAACGAATACTTAAATACGATTACACAAGTATAGACAACATTCTTTTTCGTTACATAGATGTGTACTTGTGTTGGAAAAACAGTCAAATGTTGATTATTACACTAAACACTTACAGAAAAATTAAGTGTTAAACTATTGTATTATTATTAATACTTTTATGTATCTTCGCACAAGAAATAAATGAAAGCGTCTTACAACATAATTAATAATATACTTTGATGCGGCAAAATCTCTGTAAGAGAAATCCTTTCTAAGATTTTATTACAACATATTATAATTAACTCCTTACGCTAAATATTACATATCGACAAAAATATAAATCATCCTCAACTTACGTCCAAATTAAAATCGATATCTAACGCAAATAGTATATAGTACGCCAATAGTATATAGTAAGCCAATAGTATATAGTAAGCCAATAGTATATAGTAAACCAATAGTATATAGTACGCCAATAGTACATAGTAAGCCAATAGTATAATAAAAATAGTAATATTAAAATCATATATAGTATATAGTACGCAATTAGTATATGGTAAGCTAGTATTCTTTCACAAACATAGTTTTCAAAAATTCGCCACACAGATCTTACATGTATATCTATATATAAACCTACTATATTATACACCCGTTTACTGGGACATTATTACATTTTCTAAGTAAAAAAGCAACACACTGATACTCGATATGTTCAATAATATGTCAAAAAAACGCAATTCTTGAAGAATAGTCAGCATTCAAGCTTTTTCCAGATATTTTTTAGTTTTTGTTTGATATTTTTAATTTTAGAGAGAGTGTGTTAGATTTATTAATATTCCATTATCTTAATTAAGTCATTATCGATGACTTTATATACCGTGCCGATTCAGTCTTCTCGTTGTTAAAAATGTATTTATGTTTTTTGAAATATTCTCTGATGAAAAATTTGTACTTTTGAGAGCATGTACATATACTGTAAACTCTTTGCTGCTCTCAAAAGTACGAATTTTTCATTAGAGAATATTTGAAACAACAAAAAGACTTAACCGGGACGGTATACTAAATTGGATGACTTTATTAAGATAATAGAATATTAATAAAGCTAACACACTAATAAAAAAATATACAACAATAACTTAGAAATATCTGGAAAAAGCTTGAAAAAAAGCTAGTTGCCTATTATATTATTTCTTNAAGATTCGCACTTTTCGACATATTATTGCAACATTTCAAGTATCAGTGTGTCGCTTGTTTACTTACAAAACGTAATAATGTCCGAGTAGACAGGTTTATAATCTATGTGAGCAATCCGCCGGTTTCGTTTGTAATCGTCAGACCGTTTGAAAAAGTAGTGGGCGTCGTACATGTTCGGAAACTTCCGCCTTATCCATTNCATTCGCTTTTCTATCCTGTTGGGAAAATCGCACAAATTAATTAATTGTTAACATTAACAAAAAAAATTTATATATATATATTGTAAAGTATACTTACGATTAAATGTTTTATTACATTTTTTGTTCAATGATAATGTGAACAACGTGGCGCGCAAAATTGTCCACACCCAGAATAAGATGGAACTGGTTGCGGCGTTAAGGTATATGAAGGTTGGGGCGTGGTAAAGGTGTACGCAGGTTGGGGTGCGATGGACGGCGCAAAAACAAAATTTGGTTGGGGATGCACATTAGGGGGTGCATTTTCATAGTATCCTCTTTCTCCTCGTCCACGAGTTCCTCGTCCACGAGTTCCTCGCCCACGAGCTCCTCGTCCACGAGCTCCTCCCCGTAACAGGAAACCAAACTCTTTTTGTATTATTTTTTGTGCTTTGCGCCGTGCAGCCTCGTTGATGCGCTACAAAACAAAAAAACAAATATTATTTCAGTACTAATATTTTGAAAACCAATTTATTAAGATAAAGACATGTAAGACGTGTGTGTGTGTGGGTGTGTGTGTAAATTTCAGTTTTCTCTTTCAATTGTGTTGTGATTGTTAAAGATAAAGTATATGTATATCTCAATCTTT